AAATTGTAATCTCATAAGGAACATCAAACTTCCACATTCTATTTAGCTAACTCTATTTTAAGTTATTTGTTGTTACATTATTTTGAATTCAAGTCGCAAGTTTGACACTAAATCGACTTTGCATTCATGTTCCAACAAATAGAATCATTTATATTAAACAACAACTTCCACTTTTGGGGATCCCATAGTTCCTGAAATTTTCGTGGTTTTAGAGGCAACTAATCCGCCGGCTTTTCGGGCAGTTCCTACTAATGTATTTGAGGCCTCTGAAGAGCCTGTTTCTTAACCTCAAGTTCCTCCTCAGGTATATCAATACTTATACTTTTCAATTGTTTTTCTTCTTCATAAGTTGATTACTAACTTTTATTCTCTTTTTTTTTTCCATTTGTAGGTCTCTGTTAAAGGTTCAGGCACCGTCTCTCCTCCCTTAGTAAGCCACGACAGTCACCCTCAGCTATTAGAAGAAGTGACTCCCCCTCCACCTTCTTCCTAGGTTCCAGGCTCAACTCAGGTATATTTACGGTGCCCTCTTTGAATTTGCAAATTTCTCTTTTTAACACGTTCGTTTTGTTTGCAACAGGATTATGGAGAAAGCTCAGGCAAATCCCCATTGCGAGTGTTGCGCAAGAAAGACCTTCTTCATCCTCTTCCTGCGTCTGGTATTATAAGAATATCTATTCTTGAGCCTGTGAGTGAATGAACCAAGACTTCTGTAACAGCTACTTCCACTCCTGGTTTTACTCCGACTATCATTCCCGCTCTCCTAACTGAGGCTACCCCAACTGTTACAGTTGAAGGTACAAGAGGTGTTTCGCTTTGCCAACATCATCATTGCCCGACCTAGTTAAGAAGTTCGGGCAAATCAAGACTAAGTTACAGTCACCTCCAACTTTTGTTGAATTTCCTTTATTTCAAAATGCTCGCCATATTTTCAAAGACTAGATGAAAAAGGACTTTATCGCTTCTTTCAGCTTTAAGACCCTTTATGATGCAAAAAAGGCCCTTGTTAAACTTCACCAAGCTCAACTGTTGTCCCAAACTCAATACAAGTCTTTCCTGAGTTTTTTCAAGAACTTGCTGACATTTAGGGATCAGTGTCAAAAGGCGAAGTGGGCGGCCAATAGAGTGAAGTGCTACCAGGAAAAACATGTGAAGGGTACTGGAAGAAAGGTCAGTGATGGAAGAAAAGATTGCAGTGGTTGATTTCGAAATCCAACATTTGGAAGAGCATTTGTCTTCTCTTAAAGCTGAGAAAGTGACCCTTACTAACCATCTTTCCTAGAAAGTAGAAGAAATGGAGAAGATTTCTCAAGAAGTTGAGGATTCCAAAACCCAGCTTGTAAATAGCAATATGTATTTGGGAGAACCAAGCCAAATTTTCACCATCACGCAAACTTATTTTCTAGAATAGTTTCTTTGGCCGAAGATGTAAAGTTTTTGGACTAAGACTTCTGTATGAAATGAATTCTTTTTCAAGTTTTAATTTGCTTTCTCTAATTTTTAGCCATGTGAACTCATATTCACCCTTATTAGCTTGTTTAAAACTTTTTTGATAATGATCCTTTCATAACTTTATGTTACCTATAAAACACTTATGTGGGCTCTTTTTATGGATGGTTCCTATTGTTGGCAACTTTATTATGGCTGTTTTGGATTTTTCGGGCATCTTTAGAGTTTCCTTTGTGGATCTTTCATTCTGCTTCCACCTCTTAAGTGGCTTTCCTTCCCTCTTTCTTGACCTATGTTGAGCTGACCATGTTTATTGGAGCTTCTGGGAAGGGATTCGTGTCAATCATCATGTTGCCCTCAGGTTTCGTTAGCAACAATTTCCCGTTGACAATGAGATCTTGTATCCAATCTCTACACTGGACACAATTGGTGATGGAGTGGTTGAATGTGTAGTGCAGCTTGCAATATTTTTTTCCTCTTAATTCTTCAGGTTTAGGCAGCTTTTTGGTGTCGTCAGGCACGATCACTCTTGCCCGTACTAATTCCTCATAGATTTCTGCAGCCTTGGTTAAGTCAAAGGAATAACTCTGATACTTTGGGGGTTTCATGGGGACAAATCCGCCATCGTTTAACACCATTTTTTCATCTTTGACTAGTTGAACCAATCCCTTCACTATCAAAGGCTTAAAGGGAGTGGTCATCTCCGCTACACACATGGCTATTGCTTCTCTCCTTTGACCTTCATTTTCTTCTGGCTCTTCCTCAAACTCTACAAGGTGCATGACAGCCTTATTTTTGTAGAAATGTCGTGTTTTAGAGGAGTGCTTTAGTTGCTATTCCTCAAGCAACAACTTCTCGTACTTAGTGGCCGCAATCACCGACTCTTGAAGCTCATTAAACTGCACGTCATAAAACTTCTTCCTCAAGGGTAGTCTTAAGGCCTTTTGAGCAATAGTTATGAGTTGGACATGGTTGATGGGAAACTGGCATTTCATCCTTGTCCTCCTAAACCTCGTAACGAAGTCTTCAGTAGATTCATGCTCATATTGCTTTACCTCAACCTGATCGTTGATGGTCATCTCTGGCTCCATCCTATAAAAATGTTCGTGAAAGGCCATCTCCATTTGCCCCCAATAAGCAATGGAATTCGAGGGCAAAACAAAGTACCATTGAGATGCTAAGCCTACCAAGGAGTTTCCAAATAGTCTTAACTTGTAGTTGGGATTGTCTTCGAATGCCACACAATGGTTGGAGAATTTGAAGATGTGATCTCTGGAGGATACGTTGTTAGCTTTTTTGCTGAATGCAAGCATCTTGAAATTGAAAGGGAAAGGATTTTGCTCATTAATGAACTCTGGGTAGGGCTTTTGATAGGCGATTCTAAACGGCGAACGAGCTTGTGGCTGGGCATTCCTTACCACCATCCTTCTTAACTCAGCCAATTCATTTCTGAGTTGTTGGTTGGCTGTATTATTAGGCGGGGTATAAGGAAACATATCCCATTTCGGGTTACGATCGTTGCCTAAGTTAATCTCCTTTCTTGGCTCGGGCTTCCTCTATCTAGATTTTCTTCCTTTTGTGGCCATTGGTGGTGGCCTATAAGGAGAAGGCTTATCGGCCTTGACAGGTTCTCCTTTTCCATTGGATTCCCTAATCAACTGGGGCATCCCATACTTTGTTCTTTCTTGCCCACTTTGCCCCTACTATTTAGTGGGAATAGGGGGTCGGACAACTCTGCTTCCAAAATTTCTTCCAGTACTGGCTTATCCATTTCAGATGCTTCTTTGTTTTTCCCTTTCTTCCTCTTTTCTTTAAGTAAGGGAAACAAAGGAATAACTGGCTCTTCCACAAGGCTGGCTTCTCTCATCGTCTCTTTAGCACAATCATTTTCTGGGGTAGAATACTCCAAATCCAGCCTTCTTTGCAGATGCCCTATTAAGGAACAGAGTCTGTTTACCTCTTCTCTTGTTTGTAGAGAGTTTCTCTCCATGCTTTTTATGACAGCCATCATGGTGCCCTGGAGGTCTTTATTTGTAACCTTCCTTCCTGATTTCTCAGAAGGAGTTGGGCTTTCCGTCAAGACAAGTCATTGCAAGTCTTCGAGGAGATTTGCCATGTTAGATCTTAGAATGTATTAGGGTGGTTTCTGCCCTGTTTTCCTACTGAAGGTTTGTTCTTTCCTTCGTCTTCTTGGCATACAAGATTTCGGATCCTACTGGGCATGCTAAAACTATGTTCGGGTAAGAATTTCGCTGGGGTCCCTGGTTCGAGCACACAACTCCCTGAGGAGTTGGCACTTTGGTTGTTTGTCGGCCTCCTGCTTGTCGGGATGCTGCAAGAGGATGACTCATTTAGTTCTGAAATGTGCCTTTGTGGGGCCTTAGGTGTAGGCCTTGAGGCTCACAATCAAAACTAATTGAGTGCGAAGGCGTGCCACTGCCATCTTTGTATGATAGATGTAGAACAAGTGTATTTAAGCCAATTACTTACGCCCAAAGTTATTCTGACTTCTTGTTATTAAAGGATTGTCGTGGATGGGTTAAGTCCACATTAAGTTCTTTTCTATGCCTTGAGACCAAAGACTTTTAGTTCGTTATCTTGTATGCTTAAGGGGTGAAGGTCCATATCTGATTAAGTCATCAGTTTAATCTATTTCAATCTTCCTATGATGATAAAACCATTAAATGAACCAATGAACCAGATCTGAGAGTTAATGGAACTTTGGATTATCAAAAGACAAGAAACAACTTGAATATAAACTGGGGAATGCATTATAACACTAGATCTATTAATTGAAAGACAAAACGAAGAGAGTTGGGCAAGGTTAAACATCTTGCCGTCTTTTCTCTTGGTAGTTATGAAAGGATTTTATGTTAAAGGGGATGACTGGAAAAGAGTTTATACATGGTAGATCGATACTGCAACATTTAGGAAAAGGTAGCAGAGCTTTTACATAGAAAAATGATGTCTTTCTAAGGAAATCTAAAGCTAAAAAGGTGCAGAGTCTGGACAAATAACGGCTTTCTGGGTATTTGCTTGACTGAGAGGCAAGTTGTATATTTGTTTGTTTGTTTGGTTGAGTGTCTTTGTCTTTGGACCCCCTTCATCCTTTTATAGACGAATTAGCCCAACTGCATGTAGCTTTGTTTTTGCCCGAAAGCAATTGAAGGGTAGTGACTCATCAGTATTTTACTTGTATTGCCATTGAAAAATACTTTTAGGCTGAGATTAAGTTGATTTCCATCAGTTGTCACTTCTCTTGTAAGAACCTAGCCTTTACATTAATGAGGAAGTGTCAATTGGTCTTGAGATGGACGGTCTGGGCTTTGTGGTGGGCTCTGGGTAGAAACTTTTCTTATTGAACTATTTTGAACTTTCTTTCCTCTAAGTCCAAAGTTAATTATTAACCCAAACAACACACAACGATAAGGGTGGCGACAGCTGTACTCGTCTATAACTAACAGTACAGAAAATGCTGAAAAAAAAAAGGTTAAAAAAATTTTAAATGTCCAGAAATTGAGGAGAAAAGACTGCTAAAAACAATATTTATTGGAGTACGTGCCTGGTCCGCATCCCATCCAACAGCAACATCTGCCATTTATCTTCTTCTATTTCTGTTAAGTGATAAGCACACACTTTCTTTATTTAATTCTAGCTTCTAGGAGATAAGGACTACCAAATCGTGCAAATCCCAACTGGGGTTTCTTTCTTTCGTGTCACACTCTCATAAGAAAAGAGAGAGAGACGATGTTGGAAGGCAGAGCAGTGATAGAGGACACAGATATGCCGGTGAAGATGCAGATGCAAGCCATGGCAGCTGCTTCTGAAGCTCTGGATCTTCACGATGTCGTTGACTGCAGATCTATAGCTGCCCACATCAAAAAGGTACATACTTTCGTTGTTAATTGTCACATATACATAAATTAGTTTTTATATTTTTGTTGGTAATTATTATTTTGTGGGTTTGTATTTGCAAATCGAATGCAGGAGTTTGACATGAGATATGGATGCGGTTGGCAATGTGTGGTGGGATCAAATTTCGGTTGTTTTTTCACTCACTGTAAAGGAACCTTCATCTACTTTACACTTGAGACTCTCAGCTTCCTAATCTTCAAAGGGGACTCTTCTTCCTCCTCCTCCTCCAAAAGCTAACGCAGTGTTTGGCAGCAGAGAGAAGAAAGGAAGGACAAATCGCTGTGGAAATATATATAGGGTAGGTAGGGGCTTTTGTGAGGAACACCTTTGTATTTTTGTACTGCTTTTTATGCAATCTAATAACTTTTAGCTTTTATTATTGAATCATATATTTGAAGGTAATGTTAGAGAGATTATTTAAAATTTTTAAATCAAATGATGTGATAGATGATTATTGAATTATTATTTAAATATCAATTAACATATTTATTTTCTATTAATAGTATATCATTTAATTTGATCTCTCTAATATTATCTTTGATTTATGATCTGTTTGTCTGGAATTTTGGAAGTGATTCATGCGCTTTACTAGTCTGGACTCGAATCTGACTCTCCCTTCACGTATGGACTGGGCTGAGAAAATAAATAATATGTAGGGGTCTCTCTAATAACACAACGAAAAAATAGAGTTCACATCTTTTGCACCCCAAAATTCCTATGTCTCTTTACGGCCCATCTCAGAGTTTGAAACCTGTCCAACATGAACTCTATTTTTAAACACTGTTAATTTTCTGAAAAAATTAAAAAAATAAGAAAAATTAAAATAAACGTAAACTAGAAGCCCAACCTTTCTAGGCCCGATAATTTACGATAACGAATTGGCTCGTTATTGAATAATTCAATAAGTATTGGTTAAAATAATGAATTGATTCGGATATACACGTAGATAATCCGATACATAATAAGCAAAATATTAATTTAATTATTTTATACCCCTAAAAATACTATAATAATTATATAATATTATATATGTATATTAATTTATATTTAGAAAATTTGAAAAATGAGGTAATATATTTTTATATGGTATAGTACTATTGTTTTATTTCTTTTCATAATTATTTTGGTAAACTTCTCATAATTTGAATGATTTATAATGTTTGGTTTTGCTATACTTATTTAATGCAAAAGAGAGTTCGGATGTGGAAAACCTTACTGAAAACATTATCAACATAACTCTTGAAGGCAATAGATCAAGCCAAAGTTCCAATACAAATTCCTCATGATGATTGATGAAAATTGAAAGATTTTGTAAAAGAAATAACATGCAAGCTTTGAATTTCATTGGTAAGGTTTTAACTTCTAAGAAAGGTTTCACAACCTTGAAAAGAAAAACTCCTTCATTTTGCATATCCTTGTACATTTGATATTTTGTAGTAGACTAAGGAATTAGATCCTCTCAGGATCTCCTCACTGGGGATCAATTAATACCAACAGTTCATCAAAAATCTTGTGCCCACAATTTTTTCCTTTTTTTAATTTTCAACAATAAGGTAGCCTCATTTTGCATGAAAAATTATAAAAAAGAAAAAACTATGGTCACATGATTTTTTATGAGCAATTGGTATTAATTGATTCCCTGGATTCCCAGTGAGGAGATCCGGAGAGGATCTAATTTGGTAGACTAGTAGTGTATTGGTGCTTTTTTATTAGGCTCTTATTTTGGAGTATAGAGGTAGTATTTAACGACAAATGTGTTTTTATGTTTTAAAGTAATATATATGTGGCAATGTGGTATGTGCAAATTTAAGAATTTTTTTTTTCCTTAACGGGCCTGGTCATTTTACCTGTTGGGTAAAGTAGCCCGACTTGTTAAGGACTCTTTAAGATAACGGGTGTGACACGACACGACCCGTTAAGATAATAGGTGTTACATGAAAACGACACGAAACATGGCAAACACGACCCGTTTGGTAGGCCTACCTCTCTGCCTCTTCATTGGGAATCTCACTTTCCTTTCATATTCCCGATACTAAAAACCCACTTCATAGAGGCCTGCCACATCCAGGTCCAGATCCTTAAGCCACAACTGCAACCTTACCATGAGGTTTGCGGCTACTAGTTGTTGCTATAAGAAATCAAAGCCTCCACCATTGATGGTGCTTTCGTAGAAGAAATCATGTCAAGCTTTTTGCAAAACAATCAAATCAGTACAGGACTACTCAGATGGGCTGGATTTCACCTAGGTATGTTGTAGGGTGAAGATGGCAGGGAAAGCCTTTGTGCCTTTTGTGTGTGTGTGTGTTGGGGTTGGTGGGGGGATGGTGTTAGACAGCTTTCTCGCCTTGAGGTGCAATCTTGATATCTTGGGCTTATTGAGATAGTTAGTGTCATAAGTATCTAAAGCGATGAAGCTGAATTTGTTCAAATTTGACATGTTTTCTGCAGGAAAAGAGGTGGATTAAAATTTGAAAATTTCAGGTTTAATCAAAATAGATCTAAAAACAGGATTAAAGGTTTGTTTTGCAAGAAAACTTCAAGGTTCTATTGCTTCAATAAGAGCTTAAGGGTGTGAGCTTGGGCCAAAGATGTGAACTCATAGTAAGGCACGAGTTAGTCGATCCAATCTAGTATAAAGCTGACTAACAGAGTTTAAAGAATTTAGTTTCATGGTTGAGGTAAGTAAGAAGATCACCGATAAGACCACTATAAATTTATCAGACTACAGAGGAAAATTCGAGTTACAAAGGTTGGTCGACTAGACCATCAATTCGAAATAGGGTTTTAAATGAGACCCGATCAAGTTGCTAAAGTTTAGGTACAAACCTAGGGTTCAATCTTACGCCTTCACGAATAGGTTTGAAGTTCCCGAGATAAAGTGTTTGATTTGGTAATTTCCTAATTGGTAAACCGTAGTGACTAATTTCTCTCAGCAAGGTAGGACTCGTTTGAAAAGTCACAAGGAAAACTGATATAGGAGTGGTTCGATAAGAAATAGGGAGAATAAATGTGGTGTTAACAAGGTGAATCACTGGTGTATTCTATTTCTCGCTTTCAGTGGCATCCCAAGTAGAATTTTGAGAAGAGATGCCAAAGATATACATCCTCGAAACGTACTAAACTACTAACTAACTCTACGCCACGAACTAAAAGGTCTTCATCGTTTTCTCGACACTTAAAGCATTCTAACAGTAAAATGTCATTTCGTATTTCGATCCTACTGTCTACTTGTGGAAGTGATCGAGAGGCGGCTAGTCAAAGAAGTTTTGATTACCTAAATAGGTAATTTGATTAACATAACCTTGAGTTTACCGTCTTAATCTAGGGTCTGCTACGAAGCTTCCACAATTTAGTTTCTTTGGCTTAATTAGGCACTGACAATTAATCTACCAGTCACGTCGTTAATTGACACATATACGATATTTTGATATTGTTCGCTACTCTGAAATGTAAACTAGTGTCCCAGCAAAAAGGTATCACTCCCAGATACTAGCATGTGTTTGGTATTAGAAATCATACCGCCTAAATACTGGTTAACAACTTCTGGATATAAGACAATGTTGCCAATTAATGGCACCACCATAGGCTGATTACAGGTAAAAGCCCGCTCGGTAAATGGTTTTGAATGATCGGTAAAGAATTGGTCCTGTGAAATGGTTCAAAAATTCTAGGGAAAACACTTTCTACTTCGGAAACTCCTACTGACTGTAGGTATGACAACTCGTACAAGGTGCCTATACTCATCAAATGATGAGTACAACACCAAAAGAAAACTCAGGAATTAGCGTTGGCTGGAACGTCCTAAGGCCAGAGAAAAATTTTTCTAACAATTTACTTTAGGACGAACTTAAACAGAAGCCAATCTTCCTCATGAAGATCCAGAATAATCACTAGTGCATTTGGTAAGATTAGTGTTATCAGGGACGAAAAGTGATTGTCCCAAAATGTTCTTCCATCGAGTGCTACCTCTGTAGCACCACATTGTCATTCCGTACAATTCTGGAATCTTGACGAAAGTAGACTTCATAGGAATTTTAATAGGTGGTATTCTAACAGACACTGCCAAGGAACCAAAACTATTTCTAATTTCCAATCGCAAAAGGCTTAATAACAATGGCTAAATAATAGTGATGGAATTGATGTATAGATCCCTGATAATACACTGTTATTGATAAACTAACCATGTTTTAGGGCCATTAACTAGTCTCAAATCTACATCTTTCCTTGGCAATGAAGTTCTTTGCTTTGAGTCTAAAAGCATTCGTCTCCAAAATGTCGACAAGTCGACAAAGCTACCCAAAACTTAGGAAAAACTAATACATTTTTCTTAGTCGACAAGATGGCAAGATTCGATACATAGGTTCAAGAACCTAGAATGCTTTCATCACGCGTGTGATGGATGCAATACTGCCTAACTTATACTCTGATAGCAAACTGACATACCTCGACCCGGAATGTCCACGAAGACTCCCAATTGAGCTATGCTGGCCGACACATGGAAGGTGACGAAGCCATAAAGTATAATGATGTGCCAAATGTAAATAAATTTGAGCCTAAAAGTGCGTAAAGACCAGAGTGCGCTGTGAGCGGGAATGAACCCATTTCACACGCAACGTCAGAGCATAAGTAAAGTACAGTAGGGGAGATAATGGTTATACCATCATAAGAAGTCACCTGTACTGGGATGTGCCAAGAATCCTCGTTGATACGAACTTTCAGCAGCTAAACCTGGAGGGGCGCAAAACAGAAAAAGTGAGTGGGCAAGAACAAAGGTTTTGAAAACACATTTCTCTTTCTGAACATATAATATAACCCTTATTTGTAAAACCCGTATAGTTTTTCCAGAAAATAATAATACATACATACATAGAAATCATGCTCAAGAGCAGTGAAAACCCAAGTATATGCCATATCAAGTATCTCCGTAATAATTATGTAAGCCAGGTGAAATAATTTAATGTAAAATGATAAGTCAGCCGAAGTCACCTGACGTGACCTGTATAGTTGAATCCATAGCTCATAAATTTATTCTTGCACACGAGTCGGAACCACCTAATGTGGTTTGTAGACAAGTTGGGTGTAAATAAGTACGCTCAAGTGCTACGATCATGTAAAGGTTGTGCGAAATATTGCAAGTCACCTACGAGTCGGAACCACCTAATTGATAGGAGCATAGTTATGCTACTTAGTTATGTTATTTCCTTACATTTAATGAGCTAATCACTACTTATTATAGTGTTTTGAGCTATTTTCGTTTGTTTGTAGGTCCTAATGACAAACTTGGCAAGAAAAGGCAATTTTGGGCTTATTATGGATAACTTGTTTATGGAGCGAGGTGGATGGACGAATTTGAAGTCAAAAGAGGCTAGGAACATG